CCTCCTCCTCCTCCTCCTCCTCCTCCTCCTCCTCCTCCCTCCTCCCGGTTGGCAGCGTAGCCGAGGCATCGTAGCTCGCGCTTCGTAGCAAGCGTACACACTGTTCGTTTCTAATTCCCCGAGAGTTCTCTGGCCCTTTTGTGGGGGCAAGATCCTTGCGTTTCTAACTCTTCTATCCTGGGCCTCTTCCTGGCCACTAGGGGGCCAGGAACAATTTGAAACGAGCACAATTAGAAATGAGCACGATTAGAAGTGAACGACGTGTACGCCTCGTAGTGTACACTTCGTAGCTTGCACACTATAGTTCGCACCTCATCGCTCACACTGGGCAGCTTGCTTCACATCACACAGCTCACAGCGCACAGGTCACGCCGAATGGCTTGCACGGCATAGCTCACACCACACAGCTTACACACCATAGCTCACATCACATAGCTCACGCAGCATAGCTTATACCACATATCTCACACATCATAGCGGACGCGCGTTTCCGATGGTGAAAACGAAGCCACTTCGCTCTTACCATCGGAAATGGGCGCAGTCGGCGCTTGGCAGCCTGGCGTGCAGCTCGCTCGGAAGGCGCGGGGGGCAGCGTCCAGGGGAAGAGGAGGTGGGCGCACGGCAAGGCGCGGGCGCACGCCCGACGCACGGGGGCCTCTCGAGCGGCCGCCGCACGATCCACGCGGTGTGCCGCGGTAATCAGGGGCAACGATAGGGGGTATAGGCATAGTCAGAGCGTGGATTGCCTACCCCGCTTTCGCTTCCAGGCAAAACCAAGTCATACCACGCGCCTCCCCGTCGAGCGGCCTGACCAGTGCGGCCGTAGTTTGGCGTCGCTTGGTAGCTCTTGGAAGCGAGGGTAGTCAAAAGCGAGGTAGGTTCGCTGTCCCCCTACATAGGGGGGGGATGCATCGACCCCCAATCGCCCATTGATCGCTGATGGGGCCCCGATAGCCCCAGCTTGCCCAGGAGGGTGCGGATTCACGATCTGAGGCCCATCACCGATCTATCGGCGACGTATCGCCGATTCCGGGTCGGTGCATCCCTCCCTATGCCAGTCCCCCCCTATCGTTGCCCCTCAAACGGAGATGGGAGCGGTGGGGCCCTGCCAGAAGGGAAGAGGGCTGTGGCAGAGAGAGGAAATAGATCGCTAGACCACCTCAGGCCAGATGGCTGGTAGAATATCAGGAGGGAACAAAAACACACAGACACAATTCACCGTCGATTCCCCAGAAAATATGGGAAGTGGGGGGGAAAGGCAAACACCCAGAACAGATGGGAAAAGATTGGGAATCCTGTCGTTTGTGTATTCATTTGTGTGCCCCAGGGCCCCTTCAGGATATCCCCGCGAAGGGCCCAGACGCGCGCGGATGCGAGTTCCGCAGGAGGAGGAGGAGGAGGAGGAGGAGGAGGAGGAGGAGGAGGAGTGCGAATGAGGAGCAGCGCGGACAAAATAGCGCACCGGGCGCACGACCTGGCGCACGGGGCGCACGACCTGGCGGCGCACGACCCGGCGGCGCCCACTTCGCGGAGTCATCTAGCCCCCCCATAAGCCACTCGGGGAACTTTCAGGAGGGAGAAAAACACACAGACACAATTAATCGTCGATTCCCCAGAAAATATACGAAAATTTGGGAAGTTGGGGGGAAGACAAAAGCCCAGAAAATATAGGAAAATATGGGGGATCCGTTTATTTGTGTGTATTTATTTGTGTGTTCCAGGGCCCCTTCAAACTTGCAACCCATTTCTAAGCGAGGTTGGGCCAGAGATCACCCACCTCAGCATCCCCTCGTAGAGCCCCCCTGGCCACTTAGAACCCCCCCGCGGTCATCCCCGACCCAAGAGGACGAGGCGCAGGCCCCCAAGAGGCCTCGACACTGCCTTTTTGTTCCAGGTGCAGCCGCCTCCCGCCCCCCGCCTCGCTGGGTCGGCCGTGCGGCTGCCGACCCCCCTCCCCCCCCCGCGCGGGGCGGGGGCGGCCGCGGCCCGCGGCGAGGCCGCTGCCCATGCCCACGGCGGAGCCGCCCAAGGCCGCGGCCGCCGCGGCGCGGGCGCCCCCCGCGGCGGCCGGCTTCGAGAGCCTGCTGGAGGAGCTCGACTCGCTCCGGGCCCGCCTGCTGGACCAGCACCGGCGGGAGCTCCACGAGCAGCGGCTCCCGCCACGGTCGGGGGCAACGATAGGGGGGGATCTAGGCACAGGGGGGGATGCATCGGCCCCCACTGGCACATGGATCGCCGATATAAGGGCCCGACAGCCCCAACCTGCCCAGGAAGGCGGCAGATTCACTATCAGAGGTCTATCGCCGCTCTATCGGTGATGTATCGCCGATGTTTCAGGTCGATGCATCCCCCCTTTGTCAGCACCCCCCCCTATCGCTGCTCCTCCCACGGGACAGGGGAAGCTCCAGGAGGGGGAGCGGGTCTTGAGGGTCCGGGGCTCAGCGCTAACAGGGGTCAGCCAATCCCCTGCACGTGGCTGGCCCAGGTTTGGGGGCCGCTTGGGGCAGGCTTGCCCCTTCCCGCCCTCCGCTGACCCCGGTTTGGGAGCCACTGAGCGGCCGGCCGGGCTTCGCGACTAAGGTTAGAGTTCAAAAATAGTGAACAGTAGTCTGGGGACGATGAACGGACTATGGTTGATAATGTCTGAATATGGTTTGATTCCTTCTCGTGTTTCTTGCAAGATCCGCCCGTAGGAGACGTGCCCGTTCGTGAGACTATTAGGGCCCTGGCCGACCCCAGGGCTGGGCGGACCTGGTCAGAAGTGCTTTCCCGAGGGACTCCTGCGCCGCGCTCTGCCTGCCCAGGCCGTGCCTCGGGCCCCGGGGACCGCCAACGAAAACTGAAGAGCTGCCCTGAGGTCTGACGTTGCAGAAAGATTGCAGCACCGCGAAACATCACGGCCAGAGTCCCAGACCCCATCTTCCTGCTGCACTTTTTTCGAGCCGGATCCATCTACGAGGGTCCCGGGGTCCGAAGAACCAGGCGAGATATCGCCCGGCTCGGCAGCATTGCGACGCCAGGATCTCGGGGTGGCCCCAGGGACCCGCCCAGTTCCCTTATAGGACCCTCCTCCTGCATGCCTTAAGGCTCGGCAGCGGCCGGGCCGCCCGGGAGAGTGTCTCCACGGAGCGCGGCCTGGACGCGCTGTATGCCCTGGAGGCCGCCCCCGCGGCGCCGGAGCACTCGTATGCCCTGGCGAGGCCATCCGTGGCGGAGCCGGAGCAGTTCGTGGTGGAGTGGGCGTCCGGGACTCGGGGCGGGGTGCTGTACACCTTAGGCGATGCTTAAGAAAACCCAAGTTTTCGGCCAGAGTCTCGATTATTCTTAACTTTTCAGTGTAAATCCCAAGATTTTGATAGAAGTTCTGGGTTTTTTTATGCAAGTTCTGAGACCATGAATTTCTTAACCCATGATTTCTTAAGCATTTCGCAGGGTGTATGCCAGAGGGGGCAGAGGTAGTTGCCCAGACACCTCTACCCTTCGCCCGTTTCCCCCTCGCTGGGCCTCCGGGGAGGCCCTCCGCTCGGCACCGCTGGATTCGCCTCGAGCATCTGGTCAGAACGCGCCTCGGGAGTTGCCCGGGGAGTGGCGGTATGGGTACCTTTGGATCCGCCCACTCTTCACCAGCCTCGAACGTATCCCTATCCCTAAGATTGACGCGCTAAATGGAGATGACAATCTCAGGGCTACACCCTCAGAAACTGAGGAAAACCCAGGGATACACCCTCAGACGCTGAGGAAATCCCCAAGATCGCCATCGTGACGAGGCGATGCCCAGCATAGGGATAGGGATATGTTCCAGGCTGGTAAACTCCAGGCCTCCCAGACGGCGAGGAGGAGGAGGAGGAGGAGGAGGAGGAGGAGGAGCAGACAAGGCGGAGGGTCGTGCCGCACCGCTGGTGCATCGGCGAGGCATCGCCGGTGCGGTGCGGCGCGCGGTGTGGGGCCCACGCTTCGCCACGCCGGCGTCGGCGAGGCGCCCCCGCTGCGTCGGCCACGCGGCGGGGCCCTCCGAGCAGAGGGGGGGGCCTCTCAGAGGGAGGCTTCTCAGAAGGAGGCCTCGCAGAAGGAGGCTTCTCCTCAGAAGGAGGCTTCTTCTCAGGAGGCCTCTCAGAAGGAGGCCGCTGCTCAGAGGGCGCCGGCCCGGCAGCTGCAGACGGGGCCCGGGCCTGCTAAGAAACAGGGCGCTGCTAAGGAGCCTCCCCGCCTCCCCCTGCCCCCCTGTGCGCGCCGCCCCAGACACGTCAGGAGGGAAAGACACACACACAGACACAATGAATCGTCGACCCTCAGGAAAGTATAGGAAAATATGGGAAGTGGGGGGAAGGCAAACGCCCAGAACATATGAAACAATATGGGGAATCCTGTTATTTGTGTCTATTTATTTGTGTGTCCCAGTGCCCCTTGAATCTGCACCGCGGTGCCATCGACTGGCATTTTCGGCGGTGCTGGTGCCGTCCGCAGTCAGTGTCGCTATTCGACGTACGTCTCGCTGGGTACACCCTGAGATCTTGGCGTTACAATTTTTCACGGCGGACGTTTTCGCTCCAGTTCGGGCCCTGGGGTACAGATCTGTCCGGCTCGAAAAAAGTGGCCAGAATCATTGGGTCCGCGGTTCAGGGCGTGATTTTTTGCGATGTTGTCATTTTTTGTTTGCAACGTCGGATCTCAGGGCAGTGGGTTGTTTTTGGACGTCGCTGAGCTACCCCGCTCTGGGGTGCACTCGGAATGCGCTGCCGCGCGCACGTTGAGTGCCCCTGGCAGCTTTCACTGAAAGGCGTTCTGCGAAAGGATGTTATGCCCCCCCCTGGCAGATGGGGCTGGAGTAGATGGGGTCGGAGGACCGCGCCGCATCGCCGATGCGTCGCCGACGTCGAGGATGCATCGCCGATGCGACCCTCCGACCCCATCTATTCGGAACCCGTCTGGAAGGCCTCCAGATACGGTACCGTCGGGAACTTTTCGCCGGTTCTGGCCCACCACGTCTCGGCGCCTCCTCCTCCTCCTCCTCCTCCTCCTCCTCTTCCTCCTCCCCCTCCCCCTCCTCCCCCTCCTCCTCCTCCTCCTCCTCCTCCTCCTCCTCCTCCTCCTCCTCCTCCTCCCCCTCTTCCCCCTCCTCCTCCTCCTCCTCCTCCTCCTCCTTCTCTTCCTCCTCCGCCTCCTCCACCACCTCCTCCCCAAACACCTCCTCTTGCTCCTCCTCCTCCGCCTCTTGCTCCTCCTCCTCCCTCCTCTTCTTCCGCGTCCTCCTCATCATCCTTCTCCAGCACGTCCCAGTCCCCAAGCTTCAGCCTTCCGAGCACTTCCCAGCCTCCTCGCAGAGCGGAGCGACACGCCATCCGCCTGCAAGGCATAGTGTGCCGCTGGGGCCGCCGCCGCGACATGCCAAGTGGAGCTCTTGACCTCAGCGAGTATCCACGGCACGCGCGCCGTCGCTCAAGCGGTGCGGCATACTCGTCAGTGGCCCTGTAGCACGTTCGATGTTCGAGCACACGCCGTGTACTCCTTCGGAGGTGGCATTAGGTCGAGCATGTCCTCCTACAGGCGTTTTTTGGTGAACAATGGAAACTACTCAGCAAATATTCGAATTTAGTCAAAAGTAGTATAATGATCGCCCTGATTTTTTATAATGTTTTTGAATCTTCCTCCTGCAGAAGGACATGCCCGACTTACAGGTAGCACTCTGACATGTAGTCATCAGACTGTCGATCATCCCCAGTACGTGTGCTAGCCCAGGCGTACGTTTGCCCACTTCGGCTCCGCTGATGGCGCGTAGCCTGCGTTGGCCCCCGTTGCACCGCCTGCATCGTATTGAAGGGCTCTGGTGGACAAGCACACGTTGGCGCTGTCACACGTTCTGGCGCGTGACTTTGATGTGGCGTCTGCCCTCCGAGGACCGACCCCTCGGTCACGGAGCAGCCGTCGGAGAAGCTGCAGCTGAGGTGGGACTTGCCGACGAGGGGCTCCACACAGTCCGAGGCGACCGAGCTGCAGACTATCCAGGAGCCGACCTCGATCTACACGGCCTCCCGGAGACGCGACAATCGCTGCGAGGAACTGGCCAAGTTTTGCAAGGCTTGGGCCCGCGCAGAGACAGCCCTCACAGGCAGCCCCGGCTGGCGTCAACAGATCCCCCTAGCAGTCCCAGCCGGCTTGCACGGGCCCCCCAAGCAGTCCGGGGCGGTCTCAACAAGCGTGCGCCGCTGGGGCGCTCTGCCCCCACCCCCATGCAGGGTTGGGGTGCTGAGACCGCCGGGAGACGACTCGGGGGGGCCAGGCGGGGCTGTTCGGGGGGGTTGCTGAGGCTAGCAGGGGGCTTCCTAGGGGGGCTGTCTTCGCGCAGCCCGAAGCCTCCCCAGCCCCGCCCCACCCGCGCCCTCTCGTCGACCAGAAAACGACCGACACCACCACCCGCGGCCCTCCATTTTGCGCTGCGGCTCACCGGGGGCCGTAGCGTACACCACGAAAAAAACCCACGCCGAATCTCCTGGTATACGCCAAGCCCCGTGGGGCCGTAGGCGGGGTGGTGTCGTATGTGTTCTGGTCCAAACTCTCCCCTCCCGCCCCCGGGGATGGGGCGCGGGTCGTTAAGAGGGGTCGTGGGGTTCTGCTGGAGACCAGCTTCTCCTCCTGGGTTATGATGTTCCAACCTGCTTTAGCCTGAATCATCACAAAGAAGTTCGAGCACCAAATAAGTGCCGAAACTCTAGGGCTTCCGCGTGTCGGGCCTTGGGAGACACTTGTCCGACACTGTTTCGACACTGTTTCGACATTCTTTCGACTCTCCTCCTGTCAAGCAGTGACGAAGCGTCCTGGCGCGCCTATAGGTCTACGAAACAATGTTCTAAGAACCTTTTGTGGTTTCCACGAAATGTTCTAGGAACATGTCTGGCTGGGGCCGTCTTGTTTTAACACATCGGGTCAATGATCTAAGAACCTCGCTTTCGTTCTTAAAACATTCTTGGGTTCTAAGGACATTTCGTGGTAGGCCTACAGGAATGCCTGGACGGTCGGTCCCTGCTCAATCCTGGGTCGTGTTCTGACGGCCCCGGGGTCCAGAAAGACCCGAGGAGTTCGACGACGTCGGCAAGCCTCCTGGCCCAAGGGCCTTGCCCCATCCAGGTCCCTCTTTCCACGCTTCCCTTTCCAGGACATCGGCTGATGATCACAAGGGCTCCTCCTCGTCCTCCGCCCTGGCCTACGTGCCTGTTTGCATGTCTCGCGCGCATGTCTCAACAACACACTGCAGTACTTCGAGGCACTACAGGAGCTCCTCCTCTTCCTCCTCCCTGGCCTGCGTGAATTCTGTGACATGTCTCGCGTGCACGTCTCAACAACGCACTGCAGTATCTCGAGGCCACGGCCTCGCTCACCTGGCCTAGCGAGGGGCGGGCACCTGTCCGCGCACTTGTGCTTCGCTCGCTCTTCTGGTGTCTCGCGTGGGGCGCTGCAAGAGGGCCTCGCATTCGAGGATCGAAGGAGTTGCCATCTCTTCCTCGGCGGAAGGTCGGCGGGAATAGAACGAGGCCGCATCCGTCAGCGGAAGCCAGCGGAAGTGAAAATGCGCCCCCAAGTGATGAAACCGTTTTGGGGTTCAGGGTTTCCGGAATCGGACATGTGGTGGGGGGGGGAATGGATTGGCGATCGTTTTTTATCCCTTGTTTTGCCGATCGGCGCGGGTCCTCGCACCCACCCTCCCGCCCCCCATGGAGTAGATTTTGGCAGTTTTGGGTGCCTTTTTCAAGCAGATGGAGTCTCCCCTCATAGGACGCGTTGTCGCAAACAGCCGCGCGAAGCAGAGGCCCCCCTCCCCTTCCTCTTCGCTTAGTGTAGAAACGCCGAATATGAAAACGCTCACCTGGTGGCTGTAACGGGGGTCTCCCAGGTCCTGGACGGTTGGGTGAGCAGCGTGCCGATCTTCCAGCTGGCCGCGATAGACTCAGCATCGACGGCGGACATACGCCGGAAGGCGAAGCTCTCCAATGCGGACGGCGCGATGGGCTCGAGTCTGACGCTGGGGGGAGCCCTTGAGGACCTCCTGTGCTCCTCCACCTCCTCGTCGAGGATCGAGTGATCGAGGGGGTGGGAGGAGGAGGAGGAGGAGGAGGAGGAGGAGGAGGAGGAGGAGGAGGAGGAGGAGGAGAAGGAGGAGGAGGAGGAGGAGGAGGAGGAGGAGGGAGGAGAGGAGGAGGAGGAGGACGAGGGGGAGGATGAGGAGGAGGAGGATGAGGAGGAGGAGGAGGGGGAGGAGTTGGTTTCCGCAATTTACCGGTGTCTGGTTTCGGGCCCCGGAAAAGTCAACGACTGCTCCAGCATGAAAAATCGACCGTGAGTTACCCCGGTGCCCAGTAGGGGTCCAGCGATTGTTTTGAACGGATGTCAGGGGTCCGGAAGGAGGTCTCCCTTTGTCCTCCTCCGCCTCGGCCTCGTCCCCCCCTCGAGGATCTCAAGGAGCCTGATACGCTAACCTTTGTTTCGACAGGGTTTATTTCGAAGTGGTTGATGGTGCACCCTATGCAGTGGAGTGTGACCTTCTGGAGTTTTCTGAGCCTTCTGCTGATTGCCTACGACACAGTAACCGTGCCGCTCTTCTTCTTCTACACGTTCGCCCACGTCCCTCTAGTGATTGTGTTCGTGGACTGGCTCGCCAGAGTCTTCTGGACCTTGGACATCCCGCTGTCCCTCGTGACCGGCTTCCACAAGGAGGGCTACATCGAGATGAGGTTCAGGGCCGTGGCTGGGGCGTATGCTCGGTCGTGGCTCGTCTTCGACATCATCGTCGTCGTGTCCGACTGGCTGGTCGTCGCCCTGAAGGACAGCTCCACCCTCTCGGCGGTGCCGGTCCTGCGGTCGCTGCGGCTGGTCCGCGTGCTCCGCCTGCTCCGCCTCGGCCGGCTTTCGCACATGATCAACGAGATCTTGTTGTACGCCTCCGACGGGGTTCCTCCGAAAATCGGGCATGCCCCTGTGCAGGAGGAAGATTCAAACAGAGGCAAGAACTAGTTTGGGGACGTTTTTCAAACATAGTCCAAAAATAGTCTGCAGGAGGAAGATTGAAAACACATCGTCAAAACACTGCCCGGGGACTTTCTTCGACTGTTGTTGGCTGTCTTCGACCTTTGTTTGGCTGTGTTGTGTTTTTACTCCCAAATCCGCCTGTAGGAGGACATGCCCGACCTAAGGTTACTCTCGGCGTCAGCGTTCTGAAGCTGACCGTGGGGCTCTGCGTCGGCGTTCACCTCGTCGCGTGCGTCTGGTGCTCAGAGGAGAAAAAATTACCATGTGACGCACCCAACCCTTTCCATACATGTGGCGATTATGCTCAGGACCACTCAATGCTGACTGGCCTCCCAGGAGCCCACGAAAGTGGCGACAGTTGCGCAGATCGCAAGCCCCTAGGGGGCGGCGAGGTCCCGAGGTGGTCCGCGTGGGACGTACCTCCGCTGGGCCTCCCAGGAGCCCACGAAAGTGGCGACAGTTGCGCAGATCGCGAGCCCCCCAGGGGGCGGCGAGGTCCCGTGGTGGTCCGCGTATGCCGTACCTCCGCTGGGCCTCCCAGGAGCCCACGAGAGTGGCGACAGTTGCGCAGATCGCAAGCCCCCCAGGGGGCGACGAGGTCCCGAGGTGGTCCGCGTATGACGTACCTCCGCTGGGCCTCCCAGGAGCCCACGAAAGTGGCGACAGTTGCTCAGATCGCAGACGGCACGCGAGAAGAGGAGAGGGGACACAGGAACCAGGAGAGAAGGAGGAGGGGAGGAGAGGGGAGGAGGAGAGGAGGAGGAGGAGGAGGAGGAGGAGGAGGAGGAGGAGGTGGAGACCACACTGCCCTATTCAAAACGAGTGCCCAACACAGGAGGGTTGGGAAAACTACAGGTACCCTCCGCCCGCTCTCCCCTTTTAGGGGCCTCCCCGGAGGCCCTCGTCGCCTCCGCCGGATTCGCCTCGGAGTCCTGGTCAGAACGCACCTGGGGAGAGGTCCGGGCAGTAGCAGTATCGGGTATCGGTACCTTTTGGTTTCCCCAGGTACGGCGTGGGCGACAGCAACAGCTCCGGATGGGTCTCCAGGGAGGCGCTCCTGGAGTCTGCGGCGCCCTCCGAGCAGTACCTGTTTTCCGTGCATTGGGTGATCACCCAGTTGCAGGGCACGAGTCTCACGCCGCCGCGGACGATCTTGGAGATCGGCTTCCAGTCCCTGGTGCTTCTGGGCGCCCAGGCTTTCGTTGCGATCTTCATCGCTAACCTCACGCAGGCCATGATATCCCTGACGGACACCCAGAAACTGCAGATGCAGCAGGCAGCCAGGCGCTACCTGCGCCGCCGGCGTATCTCTCCCGCGCTCTCGTACCAGGTGCGCGCGCACTTTGGGAAGAACAGCAGCGGGAAGGTGTCCGTGCAGGACACCATGGAGCTGGAGGACAAGCTGGTCGAGTCCCTTCCGCTGGTGCTGCGGCAGCAGCTCTACGAGGAGGTGCGCCTGCCACTGCTGAAGCTCGTGCCGCTTTTCAGGCGCGACGGCTTCTCGAACACCCGGCTGCTGAGGCAGCTCTGCTGCAAGGCCATCTCGGGAGTCTCGTTGATATCGGGCGAGCTGGTGTTCAGCCTCGGGGACGCGTGCAGGCAGATGCTGGTCGTCGAGTCCGGCGCTGGTGTCTACGTGAAGCTGAAGAAGTCTTGCGAGACCCGCTCCGCGTTCGGGAGGACTCGGGAGCGCGCACATGGGGGGTGGTGCGAGGCGGGTGGGTGGCCTTCTCAGACAACCGGGTGTCTGTCGAAAGGGCTCGGCGGCTTTTGAGTAAGGGTTCTCAGAAGGCGGGAGGTCTGCTTAGAAGCCCGCGTGGCTTCTCAGAAGGCCCCCCCCTCGCGCCACACCCTTGTGCGCGACGCCGAAGGACACTGACGACCTACCTTAAAGAGCAAGCCTCTGAGGAATCGGACATGAAGCAGGTGATCCGTTACCGAGGCCAGCACATTTGCGAGGCCGCACTGTGGACGCGTTGGACGAACCAGGGAGAGTTGTTCGCAGAGGGCGACTGCACGATGCTGTGTCTAATGAGCACCGAGTTCGCCACCATCGTGAGCGCGTACGAGACCACCCGCGTGCTCTGTCTCAAATACGCAGCCTGCTTCGTCTCGTGGTTGAACGACAGGGCCCGCATGCATGAGACGTCGGACGTGATGGAGACCCCGAAGCAGCTGATCCCCGAGTACCTGCAGAAGCTGGCGGACGACAGCGCCTTCGTCTTCATCTCGCACTTCAAGGACGCACGGATTTTCGGAGGGGCGCCCCTCCGCCCAGGCGTGCCAGACGTGGGGCGCCTGCCAGCAGGCGCATCAGGTAAGAAGCCAGCACTGCCGGCAAGTGCCTCTCGGGAGTTTCCACCCCCCCAGACCATGGGCCCCGGGTGCTCACAGAAGTCCGTGGGCACCTCAGGAGAGCCCCGGATGAGCGGCGCCGGAAAACGAGGTCGATTGCGCGCACATTCGCGCGTAAATTGCCCACGTAAGGTCGCGCGTAAGCGCCCTCGTTTCAAATGTAGCGTGCCGCGCTGGCGGCCCGCGGACGCCACGGCGCAAGGGCGCCATGCCATCTCGCGTAAGATCCAACGTTTGCGGCTCGCATGGGCGACGAACGTTCCTCTGGATCTCTTATAACTGGGAAATCCTCATCGCATGCCTCTGCTGCACCTCCTCCGTGAGCCAAACCTCCTTCTCCCCCCCCCCCCGCTCGAGCCCGGGGGCCCCAGCAGCGAGTGCGCGCGGAATAAATTGCCCCGCCGCTCCCAGCGAGCTCCGGCGTGGTTCCTCCGGGCTGTCCGCGATGGGGACTCCCTTATTGCTTCCAGCACGAAATGCATGAGGGCTGCCACGAGCAGCCGACCTGGACACGCCGCGCGGCGAGCTTCTGGGCGAGGTGACAGGGCGGGCCGCGCGCGCCCTAGATGCCCGAGCAGCAGCGCCGCCATAGCCAGCGACCCCGCGCGCCCCGCCCCGCCCCAAACGCCCAGTGAAGACACGACCCCCCCGTTCGCCCTACCAAAATCCGCAGTGATCACGGCTGACGCTGGCGTTCGTCGATCCACGGCTGCCGCGCGACGCCTTGGGGGGTTTTCTCGTTGAAGAGACTGGGGAGTTCTCCCTGGCGACCGCTGCGACCCCTGCGCCATTCTTGTGGGCCGCTGCGAAGAAACCGTTGTTTTCTTCCCTGCTGAAACAGGCCTACCCTCGTAAACCCGGCGCCATCAGCGACGCGTGGTCCTCCATATACACGGCGGCGAATGCTAGCCAGGCAATCGCATGAAGGCCCGCAGCCACAGGGCCACGCAGGCTGCGCGCATCGGCAGCATGGAACTTCAAGCCTGTAACGCTTCTAAGAAGGATTCCTGGCTTCAGAAATCTTCTGCGCGATCAGATGATGCAGCTGATTGCGAGGCTGGCGCTGTCCGGCGACCGAGGGAGTCTTCGAGACGAATGCTGCTCGGTACTGGACACGATGCAAGTTACAGCGGGGTCATGTTTGAACTGTCCGACGGCGCCAATATGAAAATTAGGGCGACGAGATCTATACATATCCACTGCTCCTGGCCAGGCCCATCCTGGGCCCAGGAGCTGTGTATATGCCTCCCTGGCCAGGCCAGGAGGGCGTATACACCGCTCCTGGGCCCAGGATTGGCCTGGCCAGGAGCAGTGGATATGCATAGATCTCGTCGCCCTAAAAATATGGCGCTCCGTGGAAAACAAGGCGCGGGCGCTTGCGGGTGGACTGGGCGGTCCGGCGCATGGCGAAATATACAGTGAAAAAATTGAAGGCTCGCGCGGTTGCGACGTGACCGGCGACGAAAACAGAGCAACCGTCTTTGGCTAGTTACATCGATCGAGGGCGCCCGCAGTGTCCAAGCGGAGGTGGGCAAACCGTACGAGACGTTTGGGCCGGCATCCTACGGGCTCGGATATGAGGCGATATCCGCTGTTGCTGCCTTCGCTAGATCCAACTCGCATGATGCGTTCCGACGGGGGCCGCAGCGCGCTGCAGGGCTGCTTCCAAACGGATGTGCATTGCGCGAGCGCGATGCAACTGAGAGCGGGCTCGGGACCAGCCACGTTTGCGAGCCTTCTGAAAACACAGACGTGGCCAAGACGGCCGGGTAGCAAAAGGGGGCGGAGATCTTCGGGCGCAGAAGTGCCTCGACAAACTGCGGAGCTAAGTCCTGGAAGTGCACGCGGGGCGAAGCCCCATGCACGCTCGCAGCGCTGGCCAGCTGAATTTGTGAGGTCGCCTCCTCGAGGAGTGTGCACCGATGCGTGCGAGGCCATTGATTCTTTGAGGTCGATGATTTAGATTTTGTCGCAGCATCCGGAGCCAAGGCTATCTGCTGATGTGCTTTCAGCGCGTGAGAAGTATGTTGCAGGTTTCGCGCGTGGTTTGGGGCCAGTCTGGATGACGTGGAAACACCGCGGCTTGCTTCACCGCGCAGGCGCGGTGCTTGGGTTTGGCCGTACCCCGAACACCTTGACGATTCAGAGAATCGCAAACAACTTCTCAAGTGGGGCGAAGATCACCACCACGATCATGGTCATCGTGTCGCAGGCCCGTCATAACTTGGAACATCCGCACAGGGTAGGCATGTCTTTGGGCCTCACTGGGCCCAGAAGACCGCCCCAAAACATGAACAACCACTTGCGGCAGTATTGCGATGATGCCCATGGGGACTCAGGCAAAGCACGTGCTTCCGAGTACGATGTTGGTTGTGAGAGCGACAGATTCGCCTTGTGCATGGGCCTCGGCTGGGGCGTCGCCTGCGCGTGTTCTTGCGGCGAACTCCAGGGGTTTGGTTTTCGCGGAAGTCCAACCGGGCAAGTGCATGGGTACGTCAAAATGGCATTGCACTTGGAGGTGCGACGGCCTTCCTGAAATCGAGGGTATGTTTTTCTTTCCTTGAGGTCCTCGTCCACAGGGGTAGCGCAGACGAGATTCAGGCGTTGCACCCCGCATCACTCGTTCAGTCACTTCGCCGTCGGCCGCACCCAATACAGAAGCGACCACAAACGTAAATCCCAGCAGCAGACAATAGGAACACTGCAGCGTGCTGTTCCCGCGTCGGGCTCGCTGGTTCATTATGCGTCAGTTCGGGCTGGGTTTTTTGTTCCTGCGGGTGAGGGGCTGATGTTCTTTGGGGCGGCGCGCGCCGTTGAGTTTTCTTTCGGCCGGCCAAGGTTTCAGGGCAGATGCGGCTGCATTGTTTAGGTTCACGTTGGCTTGCTAAACGTTTAGGTGGGGGTCGCTCGGATGTGTCGTCGCCGTGTGCAAACTTGTAGCTGAAAGGGTTCGGAAATGGTTAGGTCGAGCAACTCAACAGTTCCCTAAACGTCTTAGCACACGTGGTTAAAGCGATATGCAACTCGATTGTACGCCTTAGATAGCCACTCCAATCGTTGCAAACGAATGCGATCGTTGCTTCCGTTTGCTTATTTCATGCCTGTTTCCTTTGTGTGAGATTTCTCGGGCTTGATTATCCCCCCCCCTCTGTCTTCATCTCTTCCCGTCCCCCGCTCAGACCCTCCCCACCCGGCTCCAAGGTGCTGAGTGCCACCCGCCTCCTCCCGAGCCGCCGTCGCTCCCCACGCTCCCTCACCGCAGCGACCCACCCCCGCCCCTAGTCTTGGCATCGCTCGGACGTGTGCACTGTCTGTCGGCGAAGTCAATCGAGGAGCATTTTGGATCATCGGGCAGCCAAAAAACACTACAGTCGGGGCGCTGAAGAAGGAACCCTTTTTTGTTTGGGAGGGGTTCAGTGTTCCTTAGTTGTTCTACAGTTCGCCTTTGGTATGCCTTTGGTTTTCGATGGGACATCGAAGCTTAATTTATGGAAGAAAGGGGCCTCTTTCCTTATTTGGGGTTCCTTAGGTCAACGCCCCAACTGGACCAAAGCCCAAGGATGCACGGACGTCCGAGCGATGGCGACTCCCCCGGCCCCTGGCTCGAAGACCTGGAGGCCCCTGGGGCCCGATCCGCGCGGGCAGGCGCCAGGCACTGACGCTTCTGGGCGGCAGAGGGGGCCCCCTCCTCCCCCTTTCTTTCCTCCCCCTCCTCCCCCTCCTCTTCCTCCTCCTCCTCCTCCTCCTCCTCCTCCTCCTCCTCCTCGAGGAGGAGGCGGGGTCGGACGCGGCGCTCATCGAGGAGGGCATGCGCCGCATCATCAAGGAGAACCCCGCCCACCCCGCGTTCAACCTCAGGAGGCCGATTTTCCTCGACTCCAACGACCTTGTGGAGACGGACCACATCAGGACCACGACCAGGTAAAACGTTGTCGTTGTCAGGTGCGCAGGAAAACCGCCACCCCCAGGATGCGCGAAGTCCCCCAGGGACGCACACCCGGCACCGCCGGTGCGGGCCGGTACGAAAACCCCCAGGATGCACGCGGAACCCCGTTGGACGCACCGCCGGTGCGGCCTCGTACGAACCCCCCCCCCTTCGGGATGCCCTGGGGTGCGAGCGTCTGGGAGCGTGCGAGTCCCTGGGGAGCGCGTGCGAGCGTCTGGGGTGCTTGGGAGCGGTGGGGGGCGCCGTACAAGGGCGGCGGCGGCGTAGCGGTGGCGGCGGCGGCGGCGGCGGCGACGGCGACGGCGACAGCGACGGCGACGGCGACGACGACAACGACGACGAGGACGACGAGGACGACGAGGACGACGACTTGGACGAGGACGACGATGACGACGACCACGACAACCACGACGACCACTACGAACACGACTTCGACCACGACGACGACGACGACGACGACGACGACGACCAGATCTTCTTGGAGGCCGCCCCTGGAGTTTTCCGGAGGTCCCCAGAGGTATGCCCAGGACTCCCCCACTCCTCAGGGTGCCTCATCGCGCTCCTCTGCACTGCCCCGGACTCCTCCGCGGAATCTCACAGAACCCCCCCGAGGCCGCCGGTGAGCCAGGTATGTATGAAACCCCTTTGGAAGGGGGGAGGGCGGGGGTGCCGGGTCGTCGGCAGCACCCACAGTGCGCCCAGTGCGGGATTCTTTGGAAAGCCCTTGGAGAGTGGTGGGGTTCGCGCTACGGGGTACCGCCGACATTTTTGTAGGAATGCATCGGCAGATGGGTGTGTTAAATGAAAGGCATGAAGTCTCTCTCTCTCTCTCTCCCTCTCTGCGTATACAGCTATCAACAAACATCAGGACCACGATCGGGAGCAGCCACAACGTGGTGGTGCTCCTCACGGACAACGTGTTGACGAGGCCCTGGGTGCTTATCGAGATCGTGACCGCCCTGAAAGCCCGCCTGCCGATCCACCTGGTCACAATCCAGCGCCCCGGTGTGGATTTTAGGCTCCGACGTCCCGAGCACATGCGTTGGGATGCAACTCCTGGGAGGTTCCATACAGAGTTGGCGCTGGTACATCCCTGGTCGAAAACGGGTGCAATCTTGCTGAGTCCAGCTTCCTCAGACGCAATCCCGCACTATGAGGTTTAATTCCATCTAATCCAGCCTAATCTTGGTTTTGATCAGGCTGGGAAGTGCTCAATGGCTTTTTCTTTAAAATCTGGCTTCGGAGCCCTTCATCTCTCTGGCGAAGAACTCCCAGGAGCTGCCTCATCACACGTGGCACCCCGAAACAAGCAGTCTGCCCAGATTTCCCCCCGCGCTGCGGCGAGCGAGCAAGGTGTGCAGGGCACCCGAGCGCACCGCGGGGCAACCCTGTGGCGCACGGATGACGGGGGGTTGTCTGACCTGCTGCCAGGGAGCCGGATACACATGACGCGGCCGGCCTGGGCGAGAGCTGGATACAGTCGAACGGCGCAGAAAAACGGGGTCGTCTGCGCCGACATTGGCGCGTGAGTTGCTTGCGTAAGGTCGCGAGTCAGTGCCATCGCTTCCGGCGCAGCGTGCCGCGCTGGCGGCCCGCGTAGGCCGCCGCGGAAGGTCGCCGTGTCATCTCGCGTAAGGCCCAGTGTTGACCGTCGCCCGCCCCATCAGGGCGCCAGAGACGGGGCACAGCAGACGGGGTTACGGGGAACCTTGACTTCCACATTTGGCTATGCCCCCCGTTCAGGGGGCCCTGGGCGCCGTAGACGGGGGTTCCCAAAACCATGCGGTGGCGGACCGTGCGGTGAGATCCCTCGGGATCTCGAAGTCACTGCACGGTCTGTCACCGCACGGTTTTGCGACCCCAAGTACGAAGGGAAACAGCAGCGGTCGCATGTTTCATCCTGTTTTGCACATGATGCTGCTCACTCGCGGGGAGTGGGAGGAGAAGGGGGAGGAAGATGGAGGAGGAGGAGGAGGAGGAGGAGGAGGAGGAGGAGGAGGAGGAGGAGGAGTTGGTGGAGGAGGAGGAGTTGGTGGAGGAGGAGGAGTTGGTGGAGGAGGAGGAGGAGGAGGACGAGGAGGAGGAGGAGAAGTTAGTTGGTGGTGGTGGTGGAGGGAGGAGGAGGAGGAGGAGGGGAGGAGGAGGAGTTGGAGGAGTTGGAGGAGGAGGAGGAGGAGGATGAGGAGTTGGTGGAGGAGAGCCTGAGCCCCCGTTTGGCGAGACCCCCGTTTGCGAGGCCCCGGCGCCCCGGCGCCCGTCCCGAGACTGTACGGCCCAGTGCGCGCCGGGCCCTCCGCGTGCGCGCACGGCTGGCGCGCGGCCTCCGGGTGTGCCACGCGTGCGTGCAGCCGCAGGGCTGGGCCTGAGCGCTGTATTGCTGGACGTCGGTCGTGTTTTGTGTTTCGGTTTGCGAGGGGAAGTGCAGGACAACAGGCAGAGCAAAACGAAAGGCAAGACGAAAGCAACACGAAAAACGACGTTTGGGTCCAGCCCTGTCCAGCCGTGCGCGTGCTTCCAGCCTCCTGGCACGTCCTTGGGTCGAGTCGGGCCTGTCCCTCTACAGGAGGAGTCTCCCAAACTAGTCAAAAGCAGCACGGGGGCGATTTTGTCCCCTGCTTTTGAGTATGTTTGCGTATGTTCTGACTGCTTCTTATTGTTCGTCCAAATCCCCACTTGTAGGAGGACACGCCCGACCCACTCCTCGCGGCCTCGAGAGGTTCCCCAGCGAGACCTTCCTCGAGCGCCTCGCCGCGGGCGAGGGCCTCACCCCCAGCGCCCGAGCGCTCCTGAGGGCGGAGGGCATCACCGCCGAGGACCTGCTGCTCCTGGGCAACGCCTTCCAGCGCATAGCCCTGCCGTTCTCCCCGCACAAGTCCATGAACGTGCGGGAGGCCTGCGGAAGTCGATCGATGGAGACCGAGCATGCTGCCAAGCAGTTTCCAGATGGCTAAAGCATGCTTCAAGTATGTCTTAGACACGTAAAAAAAGCCTTGCTGTTAACATGCTGAGAGAATTGTCTTTGACGTGTTAAAACGCTTCTCTAGTTCAATGATGGGTTTGCTAGAGTGTCCATTGCCATGGCATCCACGACGGGAGGCGGAGCGCCCTGATGAATTGTCGTGTCGGGGGTGGACAGAACCCCCATATTGACGCGTCGAGTATAGTGAACTGTCCCTTTTCGGTTCTCGAGAGGGCGCCGCGGCCGTCATCTTCCAGGCTTGCGCCCGACAGGTCTGGGCCCGAGGTCGTTTTCACTGAACCACGTTTTACTAAAGGGGATTCTGTCCATCCCCTCTCGTCCTCCATCTCGTAGTGACTCTGTGCTGCGCTGGTGACAGCCTCGCCACCGCTTTGCCGCTCGTTTGGGACCTCTGAGGGGGGAATAAAAACATGGACATGATTTTGTTATTGAAGTTTCGTTGTACACCGGACTCACTTCTATAGCGCTCACTTCTATAGTGCTCACTTTGAAATTGTGGTCCGGAAGGGGCCGCACATGCAGGCACATGCCGCACAGTCGCATGCACATGCCCATGCAAGTATACAAAAGCCTCAACAGCATTGCCGCACATGGGCGCACATGCCACACCGTCCGACGCACAGTCGAATGCACGGTCAAGCAAAACTCTGAAAGCATAGACGCACATGCCCGCACATGCCGCAGAGATGTCGCAGGCGATAGTGGCCTGACCACCTGAGCTCGGGGCATTTCGCAACCCAGAGTTCCGAGGATGTCTCAGGCAAGCGTGGCCGGATCACCATGGGGCAGGGCATCTTGGAAACCAGAGTGGCGAGGATGTCGCTGGTCAAGGTGACCAGACGACCATGGGGCAGGACACCTCCGAGGTCTGAGTTGTGAGGATGTCTCAAGCGAAAGTGGCCTGACCACCATGGGGCAAGAGATCTCTGAGGTCAGAGTTGCGAGGATGTCTCTGGGGAGAGTGGTCTGACCACCTCAGCCCAGGGCATCTCGGAGCCCATAGTTGCGAGGATGTCTCAGGCAGGACTGGCCTGACCACTTGCTCAGGGCATCTCAGAACCCAGAGTTGCGAGGGTCTCAGGCGAAAAAGGCCGAGACACTATGGAGCAGGGCATCATTGAGGTCAGAGTTGCGAGGACGTCTCAGGCAAAAGTGGCCTGAACAGCTCACCTCAGGGCATCTCGGGCGAGGATATCCAAAGGTAAAATGGTCTAACCACCTCAACTCAGGGCGTCTCGGAACCCCGAGTTCCGAGGATGTCTCAGGCGAAAGGGGCCGAGACACTATCGAGCAGGGCATCATTCAGATCAGGGTTGCGAGGATGTCTCAGGCGACAGTGGCTGACCACCTCAGCTCGGGGCATATCGGAATCGAGACTTGCGAGAATGTCTCAGGCGACCGTGGCCTGACCAGCATGGGGCAAGAGATCTCTGAGGTCAGAGTTGCGAGGATGTCTCAGGCGAAAGTGGTCTAACCACCTCAGCTCAGGGCGTCTCGAAACCCAGAGTCCCGAGGATGTCTCAGGCGAAAGTGGCCGGGCCACCATGGGGCAGGGCATCTCCGAGACCAGAGTTGCGAGGATGTCTCAGGCGAAGGTGCCCAGATCACTTCATGTCAAAGCACGTCGGCCTCCAGATTGCCGACGACGTCTCACGCGGAACTAGCCCGACGCGAACGCGCCGGCGTCCGGAGACGAACGCCGGCCCCGGCATTCGTGCACGTCCCGCACATGCACTGCACAGGTACGCACAGTATTCGCACAGGCCGATCTCGTCGGTGGCCGAGGCAGCCAAAAATAGCGCCGAGGCCGTCCAAGAAGCCGCCAAGACGGCTCCAGATGCCACGATTTTTCTACTACCAGCCGGGGCCGGTGCTGTAGTAGAAAAATGATTGGCTATTTGACGTAGAAGATAATCGAAAAGGCCCGGCAGAAGGGCCCGAACAAAGCCCCGAGGCAGCCAAAAATAACGCCAAGGCCGTCCAAGAAGCCGTCCAGACGGCCCCAGATGCCACGATTTTTCTACTACCGGCCGGGGCCGTTGCTGTAGTAGAAAAATGGTTGGCTATTTGACGTCGAAGATAACCGAAAAGGCCCGGCAGAAGGGCCCGAACAAAGCCCCGAGGCAGCCAAAAATAGCGCCAAGGCCGTCCAAGAAACCGTCCAAACGGGCCTAGATGCCACGATTTTTCTACTACCGGCCGGGGCCGGTGCTGTAATAGAAAAGTGGTTGGCTATTTGACGTAGAAAATAACCGAAAAGGCCCGGCAAAATGGCCCACACAAAGCCCCGAGGCGGCCAAAAATAACGCCGAGGCCGTCCAAGAAGCCGCCAAGACGGGCCGTCAAGCCACTTTCGCCTGAGACATCCTCGCAACTCTCACCTCCTCCTCCTCCTCCTCCTCCTCCTCCTTCTCCTCTGGCCGAGCCGAACAAGCAGGCGGGCCAGCCGAGCCGGGGGCGCCCGCCTTCTCCGCCCCCCCCTCCCCCCCCTCCCCTCCACCTCGCCCCCCCCCATCCCTGCTTCTCCGGCCGAGCTGAGAAGGCGCGCGGGAGAGTATTTTATTAGGCGGGCGCGCCACCGCCAGCTCACGAACCGGGCGAAGAACCGCCCCCGCCAGCAGCGGGCGAGTCTAAACGCACAACAAACTCTTTCAGGAAGCCCTGGCACGCCCCAGGTTAGCTCTGCGAAGGCCAGGAGGCATTGGAGGCACAGGGGTCCCAGACAGCTCCTAGGGCATGAGCGTGCATGTGCATTGGGATGTGCACGCATGTGCGCCCGCGCGCTTCACCGCATGTGCGTGCATGTGCGGGCCCGCGCGGCCTCCCGAAGAGAGGTTGCACAGGCATGTGCGTGCATGTGCCGATGACAGATCTGCGATTCTCGAACACCTCCCGCATGTGCAGGCATGTGCGCGCATGTGCGTCGGACTGTGCGTGCATGTGCGTATGATGGATACATCAAAACACAGCGCACATGCCCCCGCACATGCCCGGGCACGACGTGCACAGTAGGAAGTCCATCCAAGAAGGACCGCACAGGCCTGGCACATGACTGGCACATGCCGCGCACATGCGCGCACATGACAGCGCAAAAACGGCCGCACCTACACCCACCCAGGGGTATAGATGTGAGCGCGGTGTAACTTAACATTGTGGGGTGAAGAAAATGTTTGGGAGGCGGAGCTGCTGGACATCATGAATCGTTGTGAGATCAGCGGCTCCAAGTTCTCGTTCCGGCGACCTGACGATCTGGTACGCTCAAGGAGCTTCGGGGAGCCGCATTCGCCGCCGGCTCCTTCAACTCTACCACGGTAAATGACCACCACCACCAAGATCGGGAAAGTGCGCGATTTTTCTTGATGTTGGCAGGATGTCGGTAGTTGTGCATTTGGCATTGTTGTGGCCCTCCCTCGCGCCCAAGGGGCTGGAACGGGGCTTATCAAGACACGCGGCGGTGGTGTATATAATTTCAATTACACTGGGGCACGGTTTAGGTATCCCACCACCACCAATACCACCAAGTTGGGATTTCCCATAGCGCTCGTGCGCTGTTCTGCGCTTCTGTTCGCCGGGGTGGCGTGGCACCGTCTGACAGGGCCCTAGCTCTGATCCGGTGGTGTATATACAGGCCTCGTATCCAAAGCGATATCCGAAGCTATCTTCGCCAAGCTATAGTCGCCCAGCGGCGCCTCGCAATGTTGAATCATAATTTTTCCATGCGGCCATTGGCGTCATCTGGCAATGGCTGTCGTTACACGTAGAAGCTGCATCTCGTCGTCTTACCGTCCCTTTTCTCTCTTTGTCACTCCCCACCCCCATCCCGTCTCCCTTACTTTCCTTTTCGTCAATACCGATACCCATCCACGTACAGTGGAGGCCCATGCCAAGAAACACCCTGCTTGCCTCCAGGGTGCCCTGGGTTTCTTGGGTTTCGATGGTTTTGCTGTGGACAGCGTGACCTTCCCACCCCAAAATTCAATAGACGTCCTGGGGTCTCAAGGTTGGGTTTCTTGTGGAAGGTTCCTTGTGGTCTAGCCCCTACTGTACTGTTATCCTCCCTTGCAGATTTTTTCAGGAAGGACTTGATGTGGTTTGCTTGCTCCACGTGGCCGAAGTGCCGGGGTGGGGGGGGCCCTGCTAATTGCTAACGGTGCCTCCCTGCTCAATCTCCCTCCACCCTTCCTCCATCCTTCCTCCTTCTTCTCCTCCTCCTCCTCCTCCTCCTCCTCCTCCAGTCAGTTGGCCGTCCCTGAAGGGACATGGCCTGGCTGGTTTGTCTTACATCCAGCTGGCCTGTTGCTCGCGCACCCTTGCTTTTGTCCCTCATTATGATACCCACTCACACTCAATGTTTTCCGACTTCCCTATGTTAAATTGATTTCTGATGGTTCGAGTTATTCACATCATCATTCATTAACACCCGGATTGGCCCACACACATATCACTTATGCGCTTGTTGTTATCATTGGGGTCCCATCCACTTCGCTTCTCCTACCGTCTCCTCCCTTTCATCACCGCTTGCACTCAGACTTACTCAGGGCTACTCACATCTAAGCTGACTCACCCTTAGAGTCTCAAACACTTGGGCTCAATCATTTCCTGGCCCATTCACGAGCAGACACACTCATGTTCAGACTCACGTGTGCTCATACTCTCTCTCTCTCACACTCAGACCATCTCGAGGCGGAGCCACCAAGGGGCATACATCACTGCCTGCTCGCGTCCACACTGGTGGGATCTCTCCTGTCGAATGCCCCTGTGAAGGCATCGCATTGGAGCTCCCAAGGGAGAGTCACCAGAGGGCATACCACGGGCCCGCTTGCGTCCAAATTGCTGGGACATCTCGGCAGACCCGCTTCGGACCATGCAGATACACCTCGTCGGGACCCCATGTGGTCACCGCGATGTAGCAGGCATCGCATTTGGGCCCCCAAGGGGGAGCCACCAGGGGGCACATCACGGGCCCCTGTCCTCCCAGATATAGGCGGAGCCTCTCATGTCTGCCTCGGGCCATGCAGGTATCCTCTGCCAGAGCCCCATGACCACCGGGATGTAGCAGGCACTGCATCTGGGGGGGGGCCACCACGAGGAGGAGGAGGAGGAGGAGGAGGAAGAGGAGGAGGAGGAGGAGGAGGAGGAGGAGATTATGAACCCATACAGGAGGACGGGTAGGGAGAGGAGGAGGAGAGAGGAGGAGGAGGAGGAGGAGGAGGAGGAGGGAGGAGAGATGAGCGAGGAGGAGGAGGAGGAGGTGGAGGAGGACAAGGGGGAGGGGGAGGGGGGGGGAGGAGGTGGGGGATGAGGAGGAGGAGGAGCAAGAGGAGGAGTTGGAGGAGGAGAGGAGAAGGAGGAGGAAGAGGGAGGAGGAAGAGGAGGAGGAGGAGGAGGAGGAAGGGGGAGGGGGAAGAGGAGGAGGAGGAGGAGGAGGAGGAAGGGGAGGGGAAGGGGAGGGGGAGGGGGAGGGGAGGGGGAGGAGGAGGAGGAGAAGCAGGAGGAGAAGGATGAGGAGGAGGAGGAGGAGGAACTGCACGGCCCGTGCCCAACTTCCAGGGTAGTTCGATGGTTAAGGCGTTCTGGCGCGGTTTCCCTGGACTGGAAAACGAGGTTGGTGAGCGTGGTGTAGCGAGATAGGCAGTGGCATCGATCTATAAATGGATATTCCGATGGCTGGCGCGGCGTGGCTTTCCTTGTTGGGCAATTTTTACTGGAGGGTGTTGTGGAGGAGCAGTGGGAAGGGCGCGATCCGTGATTTAATATCATGGTATTCCGATGGACGACGCGGTTTTGCGCGGCGTCCCTGGAAGAGCCAACGGCGCAGGTGGCTGTTATGGTGGAGTGGGATGGTCACGATCCCTGATACATAACACTTGGACTGCGCAGCGTAAGAACATGCATGCAGCAGTGGGGCTAGTGTGGTGTGCTTGCTGGGCGATGAGGGAAGTATGAGGAGGAGGAATGCTCGGGGCGGTCTTAGAAAACAAGAGTCCCACTCAGGATGTGGCGAATAACAGGGTATCCCGATGGAGCCTCAAAGGAGGTTCCCAGTCGGCCCCCCACAGACCCCCAGCAGGTTTCTCTCGGGGGGAGAAGTATTCCGGCGTGGGCAGGCGGAGGAGTACCCCCCCCCCCACGGGGCAGCAGGGGTTTGGAAGAGCCGTCCATCTTGACGCGCTACAGTCAATCATGATAGTAAGGATGGGGCAACTTTCCTCGCACCTTTGCCCCCTCGCTATTCGGCATCCTTCGGCATCCTGCTGCGCTCCGCGCGGAAAACGCCAGCATGGCGCTCCGAGGCCCTTGCATCCTTGCCGCGCATCCTCACTGTCCTGGTCGACTGTACGCCCCGACTTTGATGCTTTCACTGCTTTGCGCTGCCCTGCTCCGCTCCGGTCTGCACGGCGTGCGGTGCTGCCCCGCGCGTGGCTCTGCTGTGCGCCGGGCGCCCGCAGCGAGCCCCGCCTCGCCGCGCCGGGGCCTCCCGGCGCACGAAGCAATCCAGGAAACAAACCCAAGGCAGGAGGGGGGGAAAAAAAAACACAGACAGAAACAGTCGTCGATTCCCTCGGAAATATGGGGAAAATATGGGGAAGACGAAAACCCAGTGAAACATGGGAAAATATGGGGGATCCTGGGATTTGTGTGTGTATTTGCTTGTGTGTCCCTGGGCCCCTTGACTCCTGGCGCACGGAGCAATCCAGGACACCCAGGGCAGATCAGGGCTGGACCTAAACGCTGTTTTGCTAGATTTCGGCTGTGCTTTGTTTCTCGCTTTGGCCGAGAGGTACAGGAAGACAGGTCGAGCAGAAGGAAACAACGTAACGAAAACAAAACGACCAACAACTTTGAGGTCCAGCCCTGAGGCAGAGCCCTACCAGGGTAAGAATCAGAGGCGAGCGATGGGCGACATGAGAAGGAGGAGGCCCTCGCAGAAGGCGGCGGGGCTTCTCAGAAGCCCTCCGACCTTCTGAGCAGTGTCCTGTGTCTTCGGGGAAGGCTTGGACAACTTCTCAGAGGGCCGGGGAGCAGCGAGCCTTCGGAGAAGGCCCGCACATGCTCACTTCCCCCCCGGGGCTGGCCGCCGAAGGGAGCGAGCCGCCGCTTGGCAGCACAGGCCCCTCTCCCTCCTCCTCCCCCGAGGTCCCTCCCGTGCCAACGTCCCGTCTCCCTCCCTCCCCCCCGGCCTGGGCTACAGTGGGGGCCTTGAAGAAGGAACCCTTTTGGTTGGGGAGGGGCTCCGCGTTCCTTAAGTGTTTCACAGCTTGCCTCAGGTTTTCCTGATGTTTTCGATAGGAAATCGAAGTTTAACTTATGGACAAAAGGGGCCTCGTTCCTTATTTAGGGTTCCTTAGGTCAACGCCCCGACTGTAAACGTGTCTTGGGGTTCCGAATGCGACGCAAGGCGAGCATGTGAGTCGGATCCAGTCCGACCGATGGCCCAAAGTTGCAAGCAAGGCCGAGAAGCTCGGTGAGAAGCTCGCTCGCAAGCTTTAGTAGCTCGTTGTCGACTCGCATCTCGTTTTTGTTCGCAGTCACTCACTCACCCACAACGTCCTGTCTGCCTCCCTCCCCCCCTGCTCCCCCTCCCTCCCGCCGCAAGGCATGGGGGACGCAGTGAGGGAAGGGCTTGCGTGTTTCTCTTCTGGGGCGCACCAGCGGCGTCCATTTCCCAGGCAGACATGGCCCAACAGTCTTGCACACATACCGTCTGTCTCGGCGTTCGTGCCCTCATGGTGCGACAGTTCTCGGCCCCAAAGTGGGTTGGCAGCGTTCTCCTACGAATATATGTGTGTGTGCAGTGCGCTGGACTGATCAACCATATCCAGTATTTGGGTATTTTGCACTGACGGATGCATGCATAACTGATTCTTCTGTAGGCCTCTACAGATATGTAGATTACACGCAGTCTCCAGCGGATGAGTTGCAGCTTTTCACGTTTCGCTGAAGTGTTCTGACAAATGCGATTGGTGAGCCCTTCTCCAGAGCATGCAGCAACGGCGCGTCCTCCCGAACAAAAACAGAGGAAGGAGAGAAGAGGGATAGGGACCCACCTACGCACGTGCTTTCCCCTCCCTCTTCCTTTTCCTTCCCGCTCTTACTCTCCATTGTTTTTCTCCTCCTCCTCCTGCTTCCTCTCCTCATCCCTCCTATTTCTTCCTCCCTCTCCTCCTCCTTCCTTCCTCATCTCCATCCCCCCTGGTCCTCCCCCGCCTGTTTCCTCCAGCTCCTCCTCTCCATTATTTTCTTTGATCTTCTCCTCCTTACCCTCGTCATCTTCCTCCTCGTCCCCCAACCGTGACCAGTTTGGCTCAGGATGCTTTCTCCGTGGGGGGTCGAGTGGATACCGCTGGTCCGCGGCAGGACTACAAGATTCGGCGGCAAGGACTTGTTGCCGCCCGCTCATATTCTCCACGTTCTCAGCACCTTTCTCTCTTTTTCTCGGGTGAGTTGACATTGTTTCACACCTGATCCAGAGTGGTGTAGTGAAGGATTTTCGCGGGAGTGGCCGCTCATGGCAGGAGGAAAAGAACAGAAGGTCAATCAGGCAAATCAATCATGATGACGCACCGACCCCTCGGCGTCGGCAGCGTGAATGCGATGCTTCTCTGAGATCTCGTCGTCGTCGTCGTCGTCGTGGGGGGGGGGTGGGGGGGTCTTTCGACACCCTGGGGCCTAGGCGTCAATAGTCGATTCCTCTCATGTACAGGAAGTGCTGCCCCCTGGACTTGCACGTCGCTAGCAAGACGTCAAGGATCCTGCGGGCTGCAGAGTTATGGACATAATTTCACATTCGCACCATCTAAAGG